ATCGCATGCCTTGTCCTAGATCTCCAAGGGTTTCAACAACATGACATAGATCGTCACAAGCTTCCCCACCTGCAGCACTAACATAATCGAGGCCTTGAACCGATGTCCGAACAGACGCAGCGCACTTGCACAAAATCCGCAGAAGGGTAGCGCGGCTCAGTCGCGTGAACCCAGACTCCTGGCAGATAGTAATATGATGACTATTCGCTCTGGGATAATCATCCGTATGGCGTTTGAAACCTTGAAAGTCTCTTTCGTCGATAACATGATTGTTCTTTCGCCAAAAGGCAAATCTTGGATAATATGGGGACTAGTGATTAACGCTATGAAGTGGTCGATTTGAGCAGTGGATACTCTCATCCTTGGCGTCGGAACTGTTAGCACTGGTGCTCCCCTTCCATATACTAAGTAGTGGCGTCTGGCCTCAGTAAAACGATACTAAGATAAATCGGGTATCCAGTGTCGGAGCTGATTCAGTGTCAACTTATCAGCCACAATAGACAGGATTTGCCGACGCGTCTCCCAGCTGTCCGCTGCACGGTAGCATTCAGCGAGTGCGCTCATCATGGTTTCGTCGTTTGAACTGCTTGTGGCTTCCTCTCTGTTACATTGTAAGGTTCTTTGTATGACACCAGAGGAATAAATTGCCTTGAAGAGAGAACCACTATCACTTGGAGCTATGTCTTGTAGAAGTGTAGATAGACCTTGACTTGCCTTCCGCACGTAGTAGCGTCGTGTTCTTTCACTCGCTTCTTCCCAAGGCCACTGGGAAGAAGAAGAGAAGAAGCTTCCTCCTGGGGTGGCTGGGGCACTGTGTTCAGGACGAGTAAGAGTCGTCTCCTCAGCCTGGAACAGCAACGTCAACTGTTATTTTGCGCACGGTTCATGAGGCTTTTCCATGTTAATATACGGAAAACAAGGCGTGGCATAAATGACTGAACTTTAGAAACAACCATAACAATAGCGTTGCTAAGTATAATCAGGGAGTCTGATTAAAAAAGAGCGATGCAGAATAAGAGTTGTGTGGTAAATTAATGAAATTCAGGCGTTTATCCTGTACATATAAAATCAATGGGATGTGCGAGACTCCCAAAATAACTAGTACTTACCAAAAGAAAGCTCATGAATACTCTCTGAAAGGGCAATAGGTCGTGGGTCTTGGCAATCAGCTCTGACATGTTCTCCAAGAGTTATCCTACATTCACCACATAATCCTTGAAAAAACGATAAAACAATAATAATTATTGAATAATGATTCAATTTTAGGGTTCAACATTGCTCTTCCGAATGTGACTTAGCTCTTATGAAACGTAATGTAGCACTGCAGTCTATGGATTTTATTCAAATGGACATTTACCCGAGCCGACTGGAAGAAATATTCCAGCAATACGCAAGATTAATCTGGAGATGTCTTTACTGATTCCACGATCCGCAGTACGGGATTTGCGGACGTGCTTCGACAGCTGGGCTGGTATACGGCAACGCGCCAAACCCCTTCGCCACCCAATGCCCAGCGAAGAACGATGAGCGGAACAAATATCCATGTCAGAAATGTTGGAAGGGAAACTGAAAATTGAAGACCTTGATAGAATCATTTCCACTTCAGTGTCTATGCCGCTGTCGGTCATCAGGCCAAGAGAGCTTTTGTGGCGTGATATATCCTTGTTACAAGTTAGCAGGGAAACTAAATCCTGGACTTTAGTGCTTCGAGGGTCTTGACCGCATTGGCCACCAACTAGCCGCTGAAACGAGAAATTTCTCTCCATTTTCCAATTATTTAACAGATGACGCAGAGCAAATGACTCAATTTCGACAGAAGTAAACATATGCGTCCTTATTACTCGGGATGCCGAATTGTCATATATGTTTGATTTCAATTTGTTTTTTGACAAAGTGAACGTTCGAGTTATGCAATACACTTTAACAGACCTAAACTCATTTTCCTGCACACATCTTTGTACAGTTGTAAAGATTCTAATCCAGTGGAGTTTGTCCGCGTAATAAGGTTTGCTGAATTTAAGAAAAAGTTAGAAGCCTCGCACATGCTAGCTTCGCTTATCGGGCAAGCGATCGACAAGTTCGATTTTAAAAGATAACAGCTCGAACTCTGTGAGAATTCTATATTTAGAAATTTTTGAGAGGTAAACAAAACGCTTGCAACAGATCTATTTGCGTTTGGTAATAATCTGTTTTAAAC